CACGGCAGCATAATGCCCATGAAATGATGCACAAGCCAGTACCCTGAGGGGGGCAGTGCACCCTGGAGGCGCCTGGCCTGCATAAAAGGCACAAGAACATTTCTCTAATCTTCGCAGTAGCAGTATTAACCTAGCTGCTTTTTACTGCTGCCAAAAAAAAGAAAAAGAAAGAAAGACAGAGGGTTTGCAGTCTCAGCAGATTCAGCGTCATGTCTGCTAGGAAGTTTGTTGGTCAAGGTTATGGGCATAATCGCAGGGAGGATCGATCACACTCACCTTCTCGCTCACCCTACAACTGAACAGAGTCAAATTGATGAGATCATGATTATGTTGGAGAACAGCTTGTATGTATTCTTGTCTCAGCCTTGCCAAATCCTCCATCTCCTGCGGAACCATGAAGTCTGGACGGTTTCATCCAGTAAACCGCCTTTTATACCAATACACTGCCAATACGCCATTATACAGCAGCCATAAGCTAGAAACATGTTGGTCATAGTGGATAAGATATGCACAAGTTAATAGGGATGGGTAAAAAAATCGATTTAATCGATTTTGAATCGATTCATTTAAATTTTTGCAAAATCGATGTCTAAGGAATGAGATCGATTCATTTTAGAGTGAACCGCATGACGTTCACATTCAAATAAGCAGGAAAGATGCACTCAAGATTACTTCAAGCCACACAGCTGCAAATATACCCAATAGGTTGACTGAAGACAGTAACAAATGGGTGCTGACCAGGAAAAACACTCTAGTTGTTACAGACAACGCTGCAAATATGGTTTGTGCATTGAAAATAATGCAGCTCATGAATGTCTGCTGTGTCACGTCTGCTTGCTCGAGTGAGGCTTCACTTTTTCACTTTTCACAAACAAGTTTGCACTTTTGAGACAGTTTTGTTCACATCTCAAGTTTAAACTGTCTGATTTACAAGTTTGCACTTTATGTTTAATGTGACAGGAAAACACAAAATAAATGAGTATTTTGAAACACAGTTGACACTTTCATTATTGTAAAAACAGATTGAATCGGAATGAATCGATTTAGAACTGTATGAATCAAAATCAAATCATTTCAGGACTTTGGCGAAAATACCCAGCCCTACAAGTTACTCATCGGTTTTAGATAAGCTAGACACCACGACTTGTGAGTAATTTACAATCATCATGTGTCAACAATCCCATAACTTACCTGTGACTTATGGCCCACATATGAGCATTCGCTGGCATGCTTGTATTTGCCAAATTTCAATGTGTGCTAGCATACTTCAGTGGGCTCCTAACCTACACAAAACTTACCCATAAATTATCCAACATACGACATCGTTTTTGCCAAATTTTTTGTACGTCACTATACACTGGCTAAATCGACAAGGTCTCATAGTGCCATTACATTTACTTGAGAAACATTTTTAAAAAAGGAGTTTTGTTTTTTTAAGGACTAATTTTACATCATATGATAAAACTTGACTACTCGTACTTGAGTAAAATTTCTGGCTGCTCCCTCCATTGTGAGAGAACAGAGAGCGAGGTAAAAGTAGATACCATCAACGCCGTTGTTGTTACTGTAATGTCACGTTTCTTCCATCCAGAAGAGTTACACTACTAACCTCTTGTTAATGCAGCTAACTCTCCAAGTTTCACAATTGTTGACTTAAGGTCTTAGCTTCTAACTTATCTCCCTGTTGTTTGTTCCATTAGCACTTTTGAAAACAGCCCGCATACTCATGTCTCACATGCTACGGTGATCACAGCTACCTCAACGACCCGCCCCGTCTATGTGTAGTTGGCTATTAAGTTGCCTTTGCTTTTTGTCTGGATTGGTTGAATTGTGTGATTGACAGATCAAAGATAGGGACAATAAACAGTTGGCCATGCCAGTGTAAAAAACAAAAGTCTAAAAAAATGAACACTTTCCATTCAAGGGGGGGCCAGGTGTCTCTCTGAGAGACATAGTTAACTACCTTGTATTTTTTATTTGAGCTTCATCAAGATGAAGAAATATATACAGTTATTCCCATTCAATATAGATGCTTCCAAGGGGTAAAATTATAAAACCGCTTTGTATAAATTTCCTATGTAATGCTGACATTACTAAGCTATATATGTCTATTGAGATTAATTTAGCCAGTCAGGTAGATAGATCAGCCCAAGAAAAAGCCAACAACACAGGATTGACAGCCGTCGAAATCAGACAGGAAAGAAGTTGTCATCTTTAAATCTGGGTCTTAGAAAAAAGTATGCTAAGTCAATGCTCTCTTAATGGCATAAAATATGCCCGTGATAATTAAATAAGATATCTTGATGATATTTTTCAACTATTTTCTTGAATCCCGTATTCAACAGGATTAAATTTATTTTTTTTCTCCAACTAGAGTTAAAACTCCATTTTGATTAAGACTGCTTAGAGTGGCTAAGTTTATCCTGTGCCATGCCTGTATGTATATTGTCTGCTATAGCGTTAGACCATTGGAGGATATAATGAACATTATGCGTCATTCTTTTACAATATTCTACTACTCAGTAAATTTGAATAATTTTTTGTATTTCAGTTTTTAACTTTAATTCGTGCCTCTTCTGGCCTGACGTTCTGTGCAGTTCTAACACTGTCCTGGAGGTGGCATCAGCTGGACTGCTGCTGCTGCTGCTGCAAATATTGTATTCTCCTACAAATGACACTTTGCCTTTCATTGGTTAATCCTCTCTATACATTGGGTAAACTTTTAATGTGAGTTAATTTATATGCTCTTTTTCATTCTCAAAATATGTGTTGCTGAAGCAGCTATTATTGCCATTAATTTCACTTTACTATCACATAGAAGGTATCCCTAAAATCAGTGATTTAGAGTTCTTTTTTAATTGTGTATAGTATACATGCTCTGTCTTCTAACTTCATGTCCGCTCTGCTTTTTTATCAGCATATCAGCTTCTTTGTTTCCTAATTTTTACTGCAACTAACTATATGTGCTCTCTATCAACCTTTTAAGACATGAAAAGCTTCTCAATGCTCATATACTTAACTGATTCTTTCCCAGACAGAGCCACTTATAAAGCTATTTTATTAATGCTTTCTCTAACATAGAAAGTATTTTTGAAGCAGTGGTTCTGTGTGACTTATGTGTTTTTGAACCCCCAATCAGCTTTGGCAGAAGGCGGCTGCTCACATTGAGCCTGGTTTGACTAGAGGTGTTTTTCTGTGAAAAGGGAGTTTTTTCCCCTCCATATGCTTAACCAGGAGGAGTGAATCCTACAAAGACAATGATGAAATGCATTTAGCTGGGTTTCCTTAGACAGAAAACTTTTAACCAAGCTATCTGTGTGATTTAATTAAATTGTGTCTGTAAAGTGCCTTGAAACAACATGTACCGTCAATTGCAGCTATATAAATAAACTAAACTAAATTAAAATGAATTAAGTATGATAAAAAAAGGACAGACCATTAAAATGATGAAAGAACATAATGGGAGAGGGTAGCACACAGTACATTTTGTGTTCTTCATCAAAAAGACATGTACTTCAACATGAAACGCCTTATTGAACAGGCACTAAAAAGAATAGCCACCTGGTAAGCTTGTAGCTGCTTTAGAATTTGTCAATTATTTACTAAAGAGGGCAGTTTAGTAACTCATAATCCATTACTGTGTCATTATATCTTCTTCTATTTTTCATTCTAGTTTATTATGTATGCTTTTTTACCATTATGTGTCATACATTCGAATTTTAAAGTTGGCCAGTTCTTTGCATGTTAAAAACAAAAAGGTCTATTTTAACAAATGTTGTTTAGAGCACCACTGCAGAATCAGTTTGGTTATAGTATGAGCTAATATTTTCAAGTCTTAGTAACCATTTAATGCTGGATAAGCTGAGAACTTAGGTTGACTTGCATGTCTTGTCATCATATTGCAAGATGGTACACATCTACTATATGATTAAACAGCCAGTAAAAGACCATCCAATCTTTCATTAAGGCAGCAGTTCATATGAAATATTAAAACATCTTGTGCAAAGTGTGACACACATACACCTTTTGCTCCCTAGACCAACAGCTGTAGAAACATGCCAAAGGTAACAGCTATCTCCTATTAACCTCTGCATGTTAGTCAATCTTTGACAGTAACAAAACTTGAATAAAAATAAAAACAAAAAGCAATACACATAGTCAGGCAAAGCAATTCCAAGTAAAACATTGATTTGCTTCAGACCTGTATCTTGAACACAGTGAAATTATATATCTTTGATTATCTTCATTAAGTATATTTTTTACAGTTTCAAAATTATGAGCACCTCTGAACTAACAGCAGTAGGCTGCCTAAGTTGCATTGTTAATTCTTCTTTTTAAGCACAAGCATCACAGAATCTCTTGAAAGCTTGAGGTGAAGCGTAAAGACTTAGATCTTAACTGCAAGAGAACATACAGGGATGGTAAAAGATTAGCTGTCATCCCTCAACAGATCAGAAAAGACAAGACTTCCAAGTGATTCTCTTTCAGGAAAAAAGAAGATATTTTAAATCCAGTCATCATTTTTATTTCAGAGTGGTTATGGCTATAACTTGGGGTGGTTTTGAAAAACCACACTAGTAGTTTTACAAGGCGAAGGTATAATCCAAATGAAGTAGATTTAAGTACTAAAAAAATTAAGCAAAGAGTATTACCTTGGTACACCAGCCTCATTATAAAACTGATCTCTGTGAAATCTAAAATCAACATCTCAAAACAGCAGTAGCTGTTACACACAAGCCAGTTTCTCCTAACTGAACCGACAAGGATATGATAAGCTCAAGCCCATGACACATTAAGACTGGACAGACGAGGTTGTAAGGCCACCTTTTGCTGCAGTTCCACCTGAAGTATTTTGGTTTATGTCTTGACTAGGTTTTATAATCAAGAGGCTTAATTTATTCAATGTTACCCACTTCTAAAGTTTAAATAGGCCAATTTCTATCTTGACACAGCTTTTCAATATTTTTGCAAATCGCTGTACATACAGATAGTGTACTTACATGCATTGGTCACTGCAAAGCTATTGGCGGTCTCTATATTGTCAACGTGTGGGACCAGGTTAAAGGGAGCTTCCGTAGCATTAGGGCTGGTGTTGTGAAGGAAGATAGCTAGCCGGAAAGCTGTGTACTCCTGATCTGTATTCCTAATAAACAGTCCACCTAGACAGAGGAGGGAAAAGTGAAACCCGGGAAGAGGAGGGATAAGATGGGATGGAGGGGAAGTGAGTTATTGTGGGGCAGACAGGGGTCAGGTTGGAGCATGGTGAGACAGGGTGATGCAGGGAGAAGGAGGGACGATGGATGGGAAGGGTGGAGAAAAACAGAGGGGGGGAGAGAAAAAAGAAGGCCAATTTCTTCATTAGCTTTGTTATAAAAGGCAATCTGTCTTTCCACACATTCTCAAACTCTGTCTAACACACAGGCATGAATACAAACACGCTTGTGGATGCTCAAACTCCTTGTTTCATTGATGAAATCCGAGAGAGACACACACAGAAAAAAGGAGAGGAAGAAAAGAGATTTAAAAAAAGCTAAGAGGGAAGTCTAATGAGTCAGAAAGGATAACCAGATCAGAAGGCATTAGTTAAAAGAAGAAAAAGATCATCTAGGGCATTTGAGCACCTCATTTTCAGTTAACATTTTAACAAGAAGAATGAGAAAACACTGTAAAAAAGACTGCTAGTTCATAAAATAAAAATAAATCACAGAAAGCACAGCATTAAAGTGTGGTAGGGTATACCTCTGGTAGAAATAAGGGGTCATGTAATCCTTTCAGGGCACTCTCAAATAACATGTTCTGACCAAAGAGGGGCAGCTTCTATTACCTTAGCCTGATAAGATATTAACAACAGTAATCTGACACAGCAAACTGCTACAATCAGTTCCATTTATTTAGATACCGAAAATATGCTTGGTATTCCATAAGACACATTTGTAATGTTAAGACAGAAAAAGCACAGTCAGCATATTAAAAGGTGACTAAGAAAATACTTCCAGGAATGACTTGTGTTTTTGCAAATCCATGATTTTTATAAACTATGAAAAAGGGACATGATTATTTGAGGGGGTGGGGATGTATGCTAAATCAAGACATGATTTAGCATACAATGATGATATGTTTTAAATTTTCATTTCTTTTTAGTTAAAAAACATGTATTTTTTGACTGTTTCATTTTTTTTTCCACAGACAACCTTATGTTTTTATGCTTTACCTAAGTCCTGTGTTATGAATTCAATAATGTGTATAGAAGGTGAGATGTGTCTCATTCTAGATCTTCTAGATATCCAGTTTCATTGTATTTTTAGAAAAGCCATTTTTTCATTGATGTTTCTGGACAGGAATTTGTGTGGAGAACTGCATTTCTCTTGTAACTAGGGTTTTCACAATGGCTCTTTCCTTGTTAAATAGAGTAATTATTTATTTATCTTTTTTAAAACAAATTATTATTATTATTCTGCACAATGAAAATCCAGGGTCCTATATGAATCATTTTAATGCAAACTTGATTAATCTTTAGGGAATAAATTAACAACTAATATTTTTGGGGAGTCATCATACTTTTGTTTTATTTCATTTATATTCTGCTTGCTCTGAATCACAGTAAGTTCATAATGGTGGGAGGTTGAGGTACACTCTTGACTAACTTGAAATGTATCTTTTTTAAACTGAAAAGGGGAGTTGGAGTGTCCTAAAAAACAAAAAACAAAAAAAAAACTCATGTATTGGGAATCTTGAATCATATGGTGCAAAGCAACAGTGCACCAGACACTATGCCACTGGACCCCCACTTCATGATTCAATTCTTTAAATAATCTTCCAAACTATTTCCACATTACTCCTCCAAGTTTCAAAAGAAAAAACACAAAACTGAGATAGAAAATATTGGCAGACTGACATACTGTAAATGTGTAGGCTGGGCGAAAAGTGGCAGCGACAGAAGAAGGCAATGAAGGCAGGAGTGTTAACTAAAACTCTATTAATCTCTTAATGATGCTTATATTACTCACATTGAAAGTTCTTGTTAATATACCCACCAACAGAACAGGCAAGTATAGAGAATTCAGACTGAGAGCTAGATTTCTTAACTGTAGCTGGGCTCAGAATCAGAATAAAAGCTTTAGAGTGAAGTAGTTTTAAAAAGCATAGTGGTTGGGTAACATGCAAACCTCACAATAAACTATTCATACGAACAACAGAAGTGAAAGTAATGCTGAAACTGTGTCAGTTCTTCACGATTAAACAACAAATTCCACAAGACTATTTTCTCCATCTTTATCCGTGTGTTCTGCTTTTTATCTTGTAGAGAGAAAATTTTACTCCTGATCTTTGATACAGTAGTTTTGCCTTCACACTGATGGAAACACTCTTAAGGGGGAATAATAAATTCCCCCCCTTTTAAATATCACTGTATCTCCATGTATGTTCCTTCTCTGATGAACTTAAGTGCCAGTAGAACATCTTGTATCTACAGGCAATTTGTGCATTTACAGAGGACTGTATGATGGAGGGGAGGGAAGAAAAAAAAATTCATATTGTTTTCTTTTCTACTATGCTTTTGTTATACTGGAACGCAAAGAAATCACATTTTGCATCTTTACAGGAATGCACAGATGCATGAAAATCAGTGCATTTGTGGGTATGTTTAGGCACAGGGCAACCAGTGAATATTTAGTGCATTAAGTTTATTGGCAGCTGCAAGGAGACAGAGTCAAGGAGCTGAATCTCATTACAGGACCTCACTGTTTACCCCCTCCACCCCACCAATCCCTCACACACAATGCAGTGAGTGGAGCAGAGGCGCAGAAAAAAATCATTCCATATATATTAGAGGTTCCCAAGTAACGGAGCTAAACTGATGCTCCAGCGGCAGTGAACTTTATTTCTGATTTCTTAGGAGGGCTTGGAAAAGGTTCATACCGTCCTAACAGGGGAGACGGAAAAGGGAAAGGAAGAAAGCGACCTAGAGCAGGAATGCTGCAGTATCTAAACAGTGAACAAGTGTGGAAAAGGAACTAAGCTCACTGAAACATTAATGAGGCAAGAGCAGCTTTTTAATTATAGTGAAATACTTTGTGCTCATATATCCATAACGTGAGTCACAACAGGGATTGTAATTGGGAATTTGTGGGAAATGCGATAGGGAAAATGTTTCTTTAGTTTTCCTTTCTTCTAATACACCTTATTGAGCTATTTGTTGTGTTTAACAGCGCCAGGGGTTTTTAGCGCAGTCATTTTTTCATGCATAGGGACTACTTGCCGCTTAACAACCATTAATGTGCGGTATATTGTGTCAGGTCTAGTGCCTCTGCCGTGCGTAAAAATCAGTAAACCTCCAACTCACCTATCTGCACTGAGCTGGGGAAAGCCCCTGTCGCCAGCCCCCAATAAAGGGCGGAATACACCCCAAGAAAGTGCCAAGAAAAAAGAATAATCCTCATCTTTTGTTTTGTTCCTTTCCTCGAATCCCTTCAGAAACTGTTGAGAGACATTTAGAAAGGGGGAAAGATGCGCAAGAGATAAAAACGCCTCAGAAGATGGGAAAGGGTGCTTTCCCTCGTTTTTTTTTTTTGTTTTTTTTTTAAATTCCCCTCAGTTAGTATTCATATTCCATGTTGAAATAAATCCCTTCTCTTCCCCTGCAGTGTCCGCTAAGGAGAGAGCTGTGAGTCCGGCGCACATGTAAATACGCGGGGGGAGAATAAGAGAGTGGGGAAACTCGCTGGAATGATTGGCGAGCTGGGAGCACAGGCTGCATTGAAGAACTGGACATGCGCGCCCCGCTGTCTCCCTCTCTATCTCTCCCTTCCTCTCTCTCTGCCACCCCCCCAATAACCCCCACCTCTTTCTCTCTTTTGCAGTGAAATGATCTGTTTCTCACTGACTTCTTCTCTTTTGCGTCCTTTTCCACTTTGCCTACTCTTACATACTTACAGTTTCGGAGAATGGAAGAAAAAAAAAAACAGTCGCCATACATTTATGCGCATCCTTAAGCAGCATTCCCTAATGAATGCATTGTAGTTTCACCAGAAAAGCCTCTTTTTACTCCAAACAATTTACTACTGCACAGGTTGGCTAAAAACTTTACATGTAAGTCTCACTTGATATTCATTTATATTAATTCTCAAATCTCTTGGGGGTTCCCTAAAACATTAATTCTGTTCAACATGATATGATCATGATTTGGAGAGTGCAGACTTTAAGGATGTCCAGCAGATGGTAATTGGCTCAAAAAGGTAAGCCACTAAAAAGCCATCTCTAAAGAAACTGGCTTCCACTCAATCCAAACATGAAAAGTTAAGTGGAAGAAAAAAAGGCTTCAAAAACAACATTGATAACTGCAACTTTAATCGGGTAATAGATTCAAGTCAATTAGAGAGACTTATATAGGATGTAGAAGAAGCATCTTTTCTGATCTAAAAAGTACTTGAAAGAGAGTCTTTTCAGATGAAAGAGAAATGGGTTCCATTTGGAAATCAATGTTTAAGGATTGGTTGGAATGGTCAAGAAAAAGATCTATGTTGCTCTCTGTGCGTGATTAAGGAGTAAATGAAATTCATCATTGCATACAGTATGCGGGTGTTAATCCACTACTTTTTCAGACTTTTGTTTAATTATAGTTTACAAGTACACTTGCAGGCTACTTGATTTATTGAACAGAGATAGTTAGAAATATAAATTTCTGTTCCAATATAGCTGAAAAAGGGCTAAAAAATCACCACAACCCCCCCATACATTCACACACACACAAGTTCCACCCTTCAAAGCTTTCAGGAAGGGATCCTGCACCCTAAATGTGTTCCACAGCCATAATGTTGGCTTAGCTTACTGATGGAAGGCTCTGGAATTCATCAGCAATAGATTATGGTTGGTGTCTCTCTGGGTTCTTTGGCCTACATGATCACAACCACAGGAGAACAAACATCTGGGCTGTGATGGGTGGGAAAATCACCCGAAGCCAGAAATGATTTGATGTTCACAACAGCTGCATATAAGGCAATAAAATAACCAAGCCAGGAGTACACTGTTACAGCACATTATGTTACAGCCACCTTCCATTCAATGTTGTTTAATCTTGTCTGTTGGTAACAGGTCGGTAAAGCTGACAGACGGTCTGAGATCGAGTAGTTACTCGGTGGAGAGCACAGTTTCATTCTTCCAGATGGCAAGACGAAAGCGATGCTTCACGGATTGTCCCAGTGAAAGATGCGGTCTGCGCTTCTCTGAAGGATTTCCCCAGCCGGCGGCAGAGCAGACAAGTATATCAACAAAGCTCCAAAAAAATGCCAATTTAACATTTTACCACAATAGTCAGACAGTCCTGAGTTATAGAAAGTGTACATCTTAATCACTCTTATCTGTAGATGGGCATTTATCTACTGCAGATAATATTCATTGTACAATAACTGTATGTTTTGAATTGACATATATCTAAAAAGAGTACAACATTACATTCCCCAGTCAGTGGTGGTGGACACTGTCCATGGTGCTGAAATAAGACTGCAGACTCAAAGGTTTATTAGGGCTTTTAGGTGTTCTCATGCTATTTTTGCTACATACATACACACTGTGCTAAAATCTTGAGCTATCCCTAAGCCCATATGCAACACATATAACTTTTACTCAAAGACTGTTAATAATTAAAAGTTATTCAGCCTATTAAAGTTTTATTTTTTATTTGCAATGGGAGTGATTGCACTGCCTGCAATAAGTGGTGTGTGGGGGTTAATCTACAAAGATTGATTAAGACTTGCATACCAATTTGGTTTTGCCATTTAAAATGAGCAGACTGCCTGTTCTACAACTAATTTTAAAGTAGCTTTTACGGAAAAATGAGGTTTAAAGTCATTGAGATGTTGGTAAGGATAATTATAAGGAAAAAATGGATGATAATACTTAAAATTTATGGTGCACTTCATAGCTCATCTCAAAGTGTACTTTATGAGCAAAAGTAATAAATAAATAAATAAATAAAATCGCTGAACTACGTTTATACCCGCTAAGTAATGTGTCTGCTCTGTAGTCCACCACAAAAAGTTGCCATGCGGGATTCCTCACTCAGTGGGGATAGGACCCATCCCTGCATCATGATGCACACTCCAAACATGGACTGTTCTCCCTGATGCCCTCTGGGAAGAGACTTTGAAGCATCCTGTGAAGGTCCAGCAGATTCCATAACAGTTTCTTCCCCACTGCCATTAGACTGCTCAATGTTTTGTAAAATGGGTTATTTATTGTATTTTATTATATTTTAATATAAAAAAACCTGAAATGTTAGAACTGTAAACATGTAGTCATGTTTATATTACTGTTTTTAAGTATTTTTTTTACTGTTTTTCAAGGCTGTACTTTAAAAAATGAAATTGTCTGGAGAGCTGTTCTTAACTAAATTTCTCTTTACATTTGTGTACAAGTGTTATTTTAAGAATATGTGGGATCCGCTTTACTCTCTCCTTGTCTTACTTTGTGTGTTGTTCCTCTGGTTTTGCATATTGAAGTATTTTGCTCCGTCATCCATCAAAGCTCGATATATCTGGTGGACGAAGCACAATAGGTAGGAATTACCAGACTGACTAGAAAAAATTATATCTGTGACAGAAAGAAGACACAGATGTACAGTAGGAGTCTGTGTAAATGAGGAGTAACACAGAGAGCTACAACCTGACCAACCAATCTGTGACTTTGGCTCCAGAAATTGTACTCAAGAGAAAAGTAGTGGAAGTGGATTTATTTCTAGACAAAATTCATTCATTCTCTGTGTGCATAAAGTCCCTTTATTATCCTCCAATAGCTCATCTTTTTCCTGGTGTTTCTGTTTTGGCCTTTTTTCACTTGTCAAGTTAGCATAAGGTTATAGGCTGATTTTTTTTTCCAAAATTCATTCCCCTATGGTGCCCGACATTTCCATGTTTGGCTTCTATTCTGCCTCACAGCCTAAGTAACTACAATGGGACAGCATCGTGGTTTATATGAGAGGTCTCGTTGATTTTACTGATTTGGGTTCCATACAGCGTTCATATTTGCACCACATTCAATGAGACCCTGGCTTAACGGCCTTACGTTCCAATACAGAAGTATTATCCCACTCTTCTTTATAGATTTATTTGGATTTTAGGATTTTAGAGTAGGATTCACTTTTTTTTACGTAATTCAAAAAATTCCCAACTTAAGTGTGCTTATGAACAGGGTTACATAACGATAGATACATATTCTTTTTCAATATTCTCTGGTACAGATATAAATTAATCAATAGTAGAAAGTCATCAAGATTTTAGCACAGTAAAGTTGCTCCATAAATTTAGACTGCCACCAACATGGTGGAGCAGTTTTAAAGCAAGCTCGCTAATGACCTGGGGAAGAGAAACATACAAAAAAACTACATTTTTTTGACATAACACCTCAAGATAAAAAGAACCCTTAAAGAATATTTGTCAAGCATATTTCATTAGCTTAAAACTCTCTTTTAAGTGGTCTTATTTTTATATATATATATATATATATATATATATATATATATATATATATATATATATATATATATATATATATATATAAAATAGGGTTAAAAAGATAAAAACATACGGTAAATAAAAAATAATTGATCAAAAATGGTTCTATCCTTTCATTTCTTTTGCATACGTTTTAAATAAAATAAGAGACAACGTACTCTTAATGAGTTACATATAGCACGCAAATAACACAGTTAAAACATAAATAATTTTTTTTGTAGATTAAATGAGGGTAATTAATATAAGCAACAGTGGTCTTTACTTATAGATCAAATTGCATAACAATATTCAGACTCATAATCACACACACTCAGACACTTGCATTAAGCCTCCCCGTGGGCCAGTGGTCTCTGTGGAAATATGTTCCTGTTACTGTCTTAAAGGGTGTAGTATTCCATGGATCTTTTCCAGAAGGTCTTAGACTGATCAACATATCAAACAGGCTTGGACAGTTATAGTTCCTGGGGGTTGGTATCCTAGAACTTTTTAATGTGTCCTTGGTCAGAAAAAAAACAAACAAGTAATTTGATGATAGAGAACTCTGGTAAAATCAACTGCTGAGAACTAGTGTTAGAGATTCAATAACCGATCAGAACCAGTTCTATCCTTTCATTTCTTCCAAAATCATTCAGGGTTTTTTTCTATGTTCAATTCCTAATTTCGATGCCCAATCCATTGATAGGAATTAGAAGCTGCCTAATAGCAGCAAAGAAGTATCTGCAGAAGTGTGGGCACAACCATGTGTTTGTGCTACTGTGGTTACCAGATCTACTTGGATGGTCAGATCTGCTTACTGTAGCTTGACAGAATAATCTGGCCAAAACATTGACCCATCGGCACACAGACAGCGGCGTTGGGGCGTAGAGTATTTCTCAGGT